AGGTTCAAACACTTGGATTTTCCTCGCTAAAATGAAACTGGTTTAGAAAACTTTTGATTTCTTTTAAATGTTTTTATTCTCAGAAGCAGCAATCAGTTTGTCAACAGCATCTTTTTGTCTGAGAGGAAAAGCAGCAACTGTTTCATTTTCCCAGAACGCTGACTCAGGGCATCAGTTCGTCTCTCCAGCACTACAGCGTGTTTTCCCTATCTATAGCATCTCTTCCGCTTAAATGCATACAGTTACCTACATGCTGTAGCTTCACTATTTCACCTCTTAAAGAGCAATCAATTTTTTTTACCATAACGCGTCAGTTTTACCATTTCTTCATATTGCCTATAAAACTTTGGTTTTAATGTAATTTCTTATTATTGCTACTACAAATAATCAAGCCATCTGTGTGTTGGTGGTATGGCAGCGTGGTGGTTACCCAAGAGCTTACAACAGTATCCCAAATGGTTCAAGAAATCGATTCTGAAAAAAAACCTAATGGGGAAAAGAACATTTTATAAAATGTATTAAAAACAGGATCCGTTTACATAATATAGAATAGGATACAGTATATCTGAAATCAGATTCTGTCTATTCAGTTTGGTATCTATTTTCAATACCAACAATTTAAACAGATTACATTTGAAACAGAGAACACATTTATCAGATAGTGAATAATTCAAAATCTAAAAACACTTCCCCAGCACTTCAACTAATATACATTAAGAAAAATATGAGGGGAAAGAAAGTGCTTTACAAAATTATTACAAAAATAAGAATCTAGTGAAAAAGTAGTACAGTGAATTACAAGCACAGGTGAAAAAGATTTTAGAAAGCCAAAAGCTTACTGCAACAGAAAAAGATACATCAAAGTTTCAATGAAAGTGTTGCCAGAGTTGTATTATTATCTTAATTTGTATTACTATCTTATTTTGTATTAGATAGTATCAGAATAAAAGAGGGGGAAGATTTTGGTCCTAAAAGCTCTCAGGATTATACAGTCCAGAGGGCATGACGCATCTTCATTCATCCTATTCAGAATAGGAGTAATTTAGAAGACATGCAACTCTTCCAACAGTCTCTTAAGATAATGGTCGTACCCATGGACTGGAAAATTACTAAAGTTTTACCCATCCCAAAAAAGTTGAGAAAATTGAACCAATTTACTGTAGATAAGATTTAGGTCAATGTTGTAGACAAGATATTATTGCTCTGGAATCTGTCCAGAAAAGAGCAACCAGATACATTCTGGGCTTAAGGGAATGTCCTACACTGACAAGCTGAAGGAAAAAAAACCCTTTAATTTTGTACAGATTGGACCTAGTACTGGGGAACTAAAACAAGTTTACAAAATCTTCAAATGCATTGATAAAGCCAACCCAGCAGATTTCTTCAGAATGAACAGCAAGAGACAAACCAGAGGACTCAAGAGGAAACTATGTGGAAGTGCATTTAAAACCAAGAACAAGAGACATGTCTTTACTTTGGATCAATTACAGTAACTACCAAACATATACAGTAGATGTCCTAAATGTCTCTCTCTCATTTGTAACTTTTTTATGTTCTAATGTTCTAGGTCTACTGTCAAAGCAGCAGCACCTGAAGAGTTGGGAGAAGATGTAATGTAACAGGTGGTCCATATAAGAGGTGTAATATAACAATTGGTCCATTTTAGCCAGTTACCAGCTGGTTTACGTCATTGAGCTGAGCTGGAATGAAAACAACAGTCCACCAGGATCAGGATGGGATATGCTTGTTTTAAGCCTTGAGACAGTGCAAGGGCTTGGCAGCAGGGCCTAGAATTTCTGGAGGTTTCAAATGATACCTAGATATCACTTTCTAAAGAATCGTAACTTGATTACCATATGAGAAAACAGGCATTTGTTTGAAAGTACTAAAAAAAGTAGTTTTCATTTCTGTATTCCCTATGTGCTGTACATGCAAGGCACTGTTAGAAATAACAAGCTAGGGTCAATTATCATTATCTTTCTTCTCTAAGGATATTGATACCCTCAGTGAAGATCACTGTCAACACCCTGAGGCTATCAGTAGAAGAGGTGGCATGAAACCTACAGTATAACACACTGAACTCCCTTTCCTAAGACATTTAGGAGATGTCCAGGACATTGTACAGCTTTGTCTCAACACCTCACCTCTACTCAACCACATGTCTAGTGTGCTGTCTGTCTTTCTAGGGAAGTTTAAATATAGTTGGTATATGAAGAGGGAAATACTATAAAAATAGTTATTTCAAACATTTGTTGCTTTGGGGTTCTTGAAAAGCTCAGATATTAAACTTTTTTATTTTTAAAAAGGGAGATGAACATCAATTCATGTTTCCCTGAAAGATTAGTTTAGTCAAGACAACAAGAGCAACACAAGAAATAATTCAGTTCTAATCTCAGAGCTAACAGTACGAAGGAAGGACATTGTGTCAGATGAGATAGGGTACTTTTGTAAAACCCCTAAAAGTAAGCATTGCCCTCATATTTAAGTTGTATGTGAAGAATGTATTTTGCAGGTTACTTCAGTTGGCTATATTGATTCTACTTTCGAAGAATTTCAAAGTCACGTGAGACTGTAATAATAAACACTGGCCATACATTTACTAGAAGAGGAGTCCATAGGTGTGTCAGTGTTTTAAAGTTTGGATAATTAATATGTTATGTCTTCAGCATGCCAGGGCTGAAATAAGAAAGACTTGGAGGGTCAGATCCCTTTGTTAGGTGAACTTGAATAGAGCATGAAGTCAGTTTTAACTACTCACAAACAAAAGATGTGTACTGTAGAAAATGCAGCACAGGCGTACTGTACATAATAGGTTCAGAACAGATGATACAGTTCTCCTTCCTTGCACTACCATGTCTAGGACAGGTGTTGGATTGATGATAAGGGGTGGAAAAAGATCAACTGATAGCTGGAGAGGAAACTGAGAGGCTTAAGGAACTTTTAGTTTCCTATGTTTTTCTTTCTATTCTCCCCACTCATCTTAGTCGCCCCCTGATTTTGGCAATATTGATCATCCTGATCTGCAGCTGTGAATGGTTTATTACTGTGTGTCTGTGTGCTTCTTGATTTTCTCACATATCAAGCCCGTGCGCCAGAAATTTCCCCTGTAAAGTCCTTTGTTAGTGGAAGAAAGAGAAACAATAGTCTCCAGGAAGAAACATTGATTTGTGAATTCACGTCAGAAGTATACTGAGGAATGAGCTCATTGGAGAGTTTTCTTTGCTCCCCACAATATTGTGTATCTCTTAATGCTAAATGATGGCAAATGTTATTCCAAATTATAGCCATGCAACTCTAATACCACAAAAAGAACCAAGAAGGTTGTTAGTACTCATTTTAATCCATTTTACATTGTACACACGTAATGAGAAGCTAGGCATTTTGGCTCACGTGGCTACAGAACAAAGAGTTAACTAAGGGCCTGTGCAGATGTGGAGATGGGGAGGGGGATGAATAAAAGGAAGGAAGAGGGGTTCACTGAGGATTTTCTGTCTTTTGGGGAAGGGATGTGACAAAGGACTGTAAGTTAGGCTAGTAGGGGTGAAGGGGTACTTCATTCCTGTTATCCTTCTCAAAGTTTATTAAACACTTCATGCATGTGAAGATAATGTACCCATTTCATCCGGTATACTTACAGTACATGCACAGTAACCGTTTGCCAGAATGAGATCACTTTATAATGCATTTGTTGAAAATATAAAGGATTGTAGATGCAGAATCTACAGACACAACCATTCGAAAAGTTTCTTTTTCTTCTGGATCAAGGATCAAGGATTTTTTCTATCAAGTTGAAACAATAGGAACTTTCACAGAGAGTCTGTTGAGCATCACATTTCCAATAATTAAACCAGTATCTGAGTTACTGATAAAGGAGTAATGCTGGGAAGCTTGAGATTGTTATCCATTCCACACGTGTCACTTTCCCGTCTCGCATTCCTATGTGCGCCGTGTTTAACAAACGCTCACACCGCAAGTAATACATCTACTGTATCACTGTTTACTCCCATCACTAGTTTAGTTTCCCCCTTTTCTCACTTTCCTGCTCACTCTTGCGGATTCTCCTAGAGCGCCCAAGTGCGCGTTACTTCATTACTAGTTTATTTTCAGTTTTTGATTTTCTAGCCTGCCCCTCGTTTTCGACTTGCGTTTTGGATGGTTGCTCTCTGGTTGTCTTTATCGTTTCCTGACTTTCTTGCTTGTTTCCTGGTATACGTTTTTGTTTAGTGATTTGGATTGGAGTTCTCTCTCTCTCTCCTGAGTCCTGCACAGGATCTATACCTCCTATCTGCCCATTGTTACACTGCTGATGTGAGTGTGTACAGATGTTTCTGGGGTCCATGGAGGAGGGAAGTCGAGGTTCTATTAGGCAACAAATGGTTTCAGCTTTTGTATTTCAGATTTTTTTTCATTTCAGTGTGGGATGATTAAAGTGCCCTTAATGCAGTAAGAGAAGAGCACAACCTGGTAAATTATTCTCTTATCTTAGATGGTTTGGTGGGAGTGGAAAAGCAGGACAGTGGGTTTGTGTTTTGCAATGAAGGCTTTGTGTTGAAATGAAGTGCTTTTTGTTTCTATAATATTGGAGCCTTCTCTGACTGCAATGCCTGGAACAGGAATCATACTTTTAAAATAGAGGTCACAGTTCAGCAGCATCAGCAGGTCTCTGACAAAGTAGTCTATCAGATGATTGTATTAAAGATCTCTGTTTGACAATCTCCAAACCTGAGTGAAGACTGAGTTTTCTTCGAATATCACAGGGCACAAGGCTGGACGACACTCTGGACAAGATGCCAGCCCAGGGTGCACACACACACAACACACTGAGACACCAACAAATCTGGCTAAGTGGGGGAAAACTGGAAAGTGGTGGTAAATCAGAGCGCCCAGAGAATACCCACATATGAATGCGGGAAGAACATGCAAACTGCACACATAAAGAATCCGAGTCTGGAATGACTCAAGAGCTGTGAGGCAGCAGAGAAACACACAGTAACACTGTACAATTCTTGACCAGATTTATTTCTCAAAATGGTTCAGTGAGTTTGTCACACTTAAAAAATAAAGCGTAGTGTATATAACATTGCGCATATAGTATATGCTGTCGGACACTAGTGCAGAATAGTTGTTTGAAGAGCCAATACTGAGCAATGGAGATGAGAGAAAGTAGGGAAAAGCAGCACTCCTCCCTCCCATCTGACTCAGCTGCCCTTTTCAGGATGTTTTTTTTAGTAAAGAAGATAAAGCTTAGTTTTTATTGACACTTCAGCATTGTCCTACTCACACAATAAGCAGACTATTCAGAGAACCAAGCACAGATTTGGGTCTGAACCAGTCTTGTAATTGCAGCGTAAAGGGTGTAGGCTGTATGGAAGAGTGAAATTAGTTGACGGCATCTGGTATAAGCAGTCCAGTTACAAGAGTCTCTTCGCCAGCAGGAAGCCAGCAAGCCCCCCTCCTGTCATCCCAACGAGCAGACTCCCAGCTACAGCACCTGGAAGCGGAGACGACTGGCTCCCAGTCTGCTCTTCTGGTTCTGTGAGAAAAAGTGTATCTCAGCTCATTCTGTGCTCAGACTGAAATCTTTCTTTACAGAACCCAGGCACCTCCTACAACACATTAAAACTATAGTGTCCTTCATGGACTCCCTGTGCATTTCACTAATGAGAACTTTCAGCCTGAGAAAAGCCCAGTTGTTCCATGATGCTGAGCCATTGTCAGGGTTTAAACCGAGTTCTGTATGACCATACAAGGGTGCTAGAGTTTGTGCTTATTTTGTTTTAAGTTTTGCCCTTTTTAAAGGAACATTTACTAATTGTACGCATTGTAGCTGAAAAAAACATTACGAACGCCCTGTCAAAGGATCAAACTGTCTCAGTGGCTGGGTGGAGGAGCAGGAGACATTTTAGCACATTCCCTAGCCAGAGCCATTCCCAGGTCTCAATTCTATTGACTATGGCTGGAACAGCTGGAATGCACAGTTCAATCCCATGAGATATTACTCTTATGGGTCTGGAATGTTATATGTCAAAATCTCCCCTTTAAGCTGTTACTGTTGCTCACAGGGTCTCAACAAGAAAATTAGTCATTGTGGGTTAATATTTCACTGGTGAGTGTGTTTACTGACAGCACATTGTCAAACCTAAACAGTGAAGTCTTCATGAAGAAAAGATTTTCACTTAGACTAAAAGATGTGTTGGTATATTCTGTTACGTCATGGGCCTGAAGTATCTGTAGTCAAACAAAACTCCCAAGTACAGTGTATATCACATTAAAATGTATGTCCAGCTGGCTCTTCCGATCAAAAGTAAATCTGTTTTATTGACTATAATGACATCTAAATCTGTTTCATGATATTTTCAAAGTATTTCAATCTAAGTTTCTGAGCACTGCAGCATGAAAAATAAACTTTCAGAATATTTTCCTTTGCACAAAAATGAGGATATGGAATAAGATTTTAAACCAATAAACATTGAGTTAAGAAAGTGCTTCAGGCATTGACTAATGTCCCTTCTCTTAGCAAACAAAAGCTTTAGAAAACGAAATTCCCCAAAACAAAGGAACAGTGAGCAAGGAAACACATGGCTCTGTGCCTCCAAGAAGGTTTTAAAAGAACCACATTGCAATTATTCATAATCCTGACATATTAAAAAATTAGAGTAATTGTTTAATTTTCCCATGTTATGACTAAGGTATAAATTGTAAACTCTGTGAAAAGTGGAATAAGGCATTTCTTCTTCTGATGAACTAGAGTTCTGCACCACAAGTACCAAAGTCTTACCTTTAAGGATGGCATTAAAGTAAACCCTCTCGGTTCTACCACTCTGGTGCACGACTTCGCATTCATAAATCCCCTCATGATGTTTCTGGAAGCTATTTATAATTAAATAACTGTTCTTCTGAGTCACATCCTTGGGCACAGCCTGTGCAGGGAGCTTCTTCCACTTGTACTGCTGGACTGCAGGATAACTGTCTGTTACACAGGTCAAATTCAATAACTCTCTGGTTCGAATGCTTGTTTCTGAGGCATGTATGGAAGTGTACCTTGGACCATCTGCAGAAGGAGAAAGAGAGATGAAACATGCAACTGGAGTACCACACATCCATTTAACACTATGACACTGAATACAAGTGTCTTAGTATTCAGAATCGCCTTTGAATGTAATTGAAATTAGCACCTTTTTGTAAACTTTCTGGTTTTGACAGGATGTGGCTGTTTAAAGGGAAATAGCAACTCTTTTTTTACATTTGGGGTTATAAAAAATCAGCACTGATTAATGCATTTCAAACCACAAAGAAAGTACAAAGTACACGGTAACCTGTAAAACCTTTAATTTACATCACAAAACAGACGAAATGTCCAGGTATGCTAAGCGCCATATTGCCATCATCGTCTGTGATTCAGAACGAGAAAAACCAATCTCCTGGTGACACGAAGCAGTCCTATTACATTGTTAACAAGCACGCTTGTGAATACATCACTTTTAATCGAATTTAAATATTTTTTTTTATCAGGCACTGATATCATCCTTTCACTGTGTTCACTTCTCATTGGTTTCTTTTTTATAAGCAAAATGGTTGGAATGGCATCTGGTTTGAGCACAAGTTTTGGTTCAGTATCTGAAATTAATATATATTTCATATTATGAGCTGTCAGGCTTCATTATTATGTAAACTCCATGCAGAGAAAAGTTCAATACACGTCCAATCTCAAATTGACAATATTGAAAATCAATCTACTGTATATCTGTTGAAATAAAGCACATTCTTTAGACTAAGCTAATGTTGCTACTGTATTAATTTATATGTAGTTATAAAACTGACACATACAGGGTTACATGTTTTTAGATATTTTAGCTAGATTGCTGATTTGAATGAGAGCATTGAATTGAATTCATCATATGACTTCAATACGGTTTTGCCGACAAATGCTACTTAGTAACTCTACATGCAGATCACATTGAAACATTTCTGCTTTGAAACATCTGCTGCATAACCTGTAATTCGCTCGTACATTGTGCTGAATCTTGAGAAACTTGTTGATGGGACCCACATCCCACACCCATGTTTATTTTCCATCTCTTGGCTAGTTGAATATCTCTTGGAAAAGGAAACTGTTTGACATTCTGCTGATTTGATCCTCTGTTTTGAGTTGGACCCATGTGTAGCGCTAAATGCTTGACACTGAGGCATTGTTTAAAATATATATTTTTAAGAAAGCCAAAAAAGGATTAAAATTGTTTGGAGACCAATTTCACTCTTTGCTTACAGGTACTAGTGAACAGAAAGGGCCATTTTACATCACAATTTGTGTGAATGTGCGCTCTCTCCCCACTGAGTCCAGTGGTTTGCAACATGGCAAGGCAACAATACAGTACTTTTACAAATTTAATTTAATTTTAATTTGTAATTTGTAAAATTTTGCTTTTCTGTCAATGGATTTATTTTGTTGTCTGAAAAACTGGGACTGCAGTTCCCCTTTAAAACTGAGTGAAATCATCTATAGATGATGCATCCCAGCTTTGAGACCCAACATTTTCAGAACAAAGGAGAAAAGTGAGAATGTCATCATGACTGGCTGTGCAGTGTAATACCTGATATCTCTGAGGCACAGCACCTGTTCCACCTGCCAGAGAGTGTTTGGATCTTTTAGAATCCTTATGAATCTCCATTGGGTTAATGAAAGACATTCATCCTTGACTATGAGGAACAGCCAATGAGTGTCAACTACTATCGTAAAAGCTTGGTCGATAACTCCAACCACAAACTGTGCTTCTTAGAAATTATTTAGGTGATTTTGTATCAATAAGTGGACATTTCATAAAATTGTAACTATTTTATGGAGTTTAAGATGCAAGTTTAAAAGTTTATTTTAAAATATTCCAGGACTATGAGAACTAACTACAGGTATGTGTCTTGCATTGTAATGCTATCTCATCTTATTCATTTAGCCCACTAAGCCATCTTGCTTCAAAGTTTCTGGGACAATTGGACTAGATGATCACCCTACTGTGAAGGTATACATGTCTTTCAGTCTCTATTTTACAGTGACAATTTTCCATTTTCCAAACAGCAAACCTATGGGTGGCATAATGGTGCAGTGGTTAGCATTACTGTCTTGCAGCTCTGAGGCCCTGGGTTAAATTCACAGGGTGCTACTTTTGTGGAGTTTGTATTTTCATGCGGGTTTCCTCTGGGTGCTCCAGTTTCCTACCACAGTCCAGTGAAATGCTGTTAGGTTAATTGGTTTCTAGGAAAATCGACCCTGGTGTGAGTGTGTGTGTGTGAATATCTGAGTGTGCCCTGTGATGGAATGCTGTCCCATCCATAGTATATCCTTACAGCCTTATGCCCGTTGCTTGCTGGGATAGGCTCTGGTTCCCCCATAATTGTATATTGGATAAAGCTGTTTGAAAACGGATGGATGGAGTAAACTTACACTCCACTGCCAAAGAAATTGGTTTTCTGTTTTGTCCCATGGTGTTATTAGCAATGCATTCATACAAGCCACTGTTTTCTGGGGAAAGCAGGCCAGTCACTGTGCCATTGGAGTGCCTCTGCAGGTTTGAAGGCCAGGGCAGGTTGATCCTGTTCCAGCTGATGTCAGGAGACGGATGCCCTTCGCTGGAGCATTTCATAAACACTTCTTGACCCTCCAATAGAGGAGCAGACACATCAATCTGCACATTTGAAGGTGCCTCTGAAACTTCAGAACAAACATTACAGAAATTATTTCAGTTGCTATTTATGATGTGATGATGATAAGCAAAGAAACGATTGAACTAAGTTCAATTGCATTCTGATCTGCAGAAAGACGTTAACTGTGATGCTTAAGTAAACAATTTGTTCATCAATTATTTTAATTAAAATAAAACCCTTGAGGGCTGGCATTGTAGTGCCTGGCAGAACAAATTAGTGACTGGAAATTTTAGGTAGCTACTTCAGGAAATGGAGTAGACCTAGAGAAGTTTCTCCCGTGAAATTGGGCATCACTTCCTGGAAGAGATTTCTTTGCATTTAAAATGGCAATAAAAAACAGCCTTTAGCAATTGGCATTATGAAATACTTGCACTCGTCAAACCTTTCCATTGTGATTAATGTACACAATAGCCTGTCTGAATCAAGTGTGAAGACTTTTAGAGTTATTTTTAAATTCCAGGCTGCCAGTTAAGTCTTTTTTCAACCAGATGGAAGAGTCTAGACCACTTCACCTGTACAACATTATTCATCGTTTCTCTTGCCTACCTCCCTCCACAAGTAGATCTGTTCTAAGGTAATCTTTCATCTCCTCCTGTTGGACACACTCAGAAAACTCTTTTCAAGCTGTAATGAGTTGGGGACACTGCAGAGGGCCTGTCCACTCACTCAAGACACTAGATGTTAACCCACATCTTGGCTTCCAGCTTCCAGATTTTAACATTTTCTGTGTGGCACATAATATCTTCACAATCTAGACCCCTCTTATCTGTCAGAGTAGTTAGTCACTTATGCTCATGCTGCCTTAGTTCCAGGAGATGTCTGGACTTGTTTTCGTAAATCATTAAGCTCCTCTTGTAGTGTATGTGCACAACAATTATGGACCTCACTACCGTCTGACATCAGATGTGCTTCTTTTCTAACTTTTTTAAGATCTAAGTTAGAAATATACTTTTAAGCAGACCTTTATTAAATGTTTTGAATGCACTGTTGTATTGTTTTAGTACTGTCACTGTAATAAATGGTCTGTGTTGATCATTCCAAAATGTTTCCTTCCTCACTTTGTGAAATGTGTGGAGAATGTCTTTCCATCATGAATCTTGCTTTCTAAATAAAAATGAGACTAAAAAGGGGACTGTCATGTTCAGGAAAAGATGGGCCTGAGTGAGCATATAGGAGTAGGGTGGCAATAACAGTGTCCATGAAAACCCTCTTCTTAATTTCCCAAAATACCAGCTTTTCAATGCATTCTGTGCTGACTCTTTAAAAATACAGCTGGCCTGAGTAGAAGAGGACTTTCTTGTTTCACCTGCGATCTTTACAGACATATGAAAGATCTCTGGTTTGGGTCGCATGGCTCAGAGACATTTGCACATGAAAACTATTACTATGCAGATGTAAATCAAGGTTTATTAATATGTTACTAAATAAAGAAATTGTCAAAATACATGGTCTACAGGACATTCAGCACAACATTCTACCAACATTAACCCAACCCAAACTCTCCCTGGTCTACTTACACCAGCCTTTATTTAACCAAAAAACCCACTAATTAAACCCATGTGAGTAGTGCATTTTTATTATTCAATTATACAATTAGTGAGAGTACACCCAAATGAACTTTGAGGCCCTGTTTGGTGGCAGACCTATGAAAATGACAGCCCTTCCTTGGGACAACCTGGCACAACAACCACAAAAAAAAACATTTTCACACAAAAAACAATTCTTCCAATTGTTTCCATCTTTGATTTGAAAACAATTAGTGTTTCTGTGTTTGTTATTTGTAACAACAGACGTGTCTACATACTCATTGTATTTGCTTTATGTGCCATGGTGCAAATGGGTTAATAAATTCTCAGTCAAAACACATTTCCCTGAATGCCTGCTATTTGCAAACTGAGAATTCATCTTTTATGTAGAATTTATTAAAATCCTTCTGAAAATCTAAATATACCATCTCATATGCCCAGTGTGAATTCATTACTACTGTTACTTGTCCAGAAAACACAGAAGTATTATTTTTTGTATTTTTTTTAGTATTAAGTACAGCCAGAATAACACACTTATTTAATAATAATTGCTTACACTTATATAGCACTTTTCTTGACACTCCACTCAAAGCGCTTTACAGGTAATGGGGACTCCCATCCACCACCACCAATGTGCAGGATCCACCTGGATGATGCGACGGCAGCCATAGTGCGCCAGAACGCTCACCACACATCAGCTATTAGTTGGGAGGAGAGCAGAGTAATGTAGCCAATTCATAGAGGGGGATTATTAGGAGGCCATGATTGGTAAGGGTTAATGGGAAATTTGGCCAGGACACCAGGGTTATACCCTTACTCTTTTCAAGGAACACACTGGGATTTTTAATGACCACAGAGAGTCGGGACCTTGGTTTTACATCTCAGCCGAAGGACAACATCTGTTTACAGTATAGTACAGTATACTATGTTGACAACAGCTGGATAGTGTGGAAATTGGACAACGCTGTTAGTGTACATGTATATTGGATAAAGCGTCAATAGAGTGATACTCACAGTTTAGTTTCTGAGATTGTTCTGTACTGAAATTGCAATCAGTCCTTCTTGCAATGCAGATTAACTTTTTTCCTTGATCTTCCCTTCTCAGACTCAAAGTATGTATCACAGACATGTGGTCTAAAGTGTCTAGTGTTTCGTTTCTCAGAAGCTTGTCCCCAAGGTACAGTTCAACGTTGACAAATCCATCAGGATAAACCTTACTCACGTGACATGTAACATTAATTGTGTCATTTCCATTCAGATTAGACTGCGTTATTTCAGGGATACCAAGTGCTGTTCCCAAAGGAGAGAGAAAACACAAACTTTTCAACTGATAATTCACCCAAACTGTCACATCTTACAAAACTTGTTGGTTTACTTACATGCATATGAAAGCTTAGCAACATAAGAAGAAGAACATAAAAAAGGTTACAAATGAAATGTTAATTTAGAACTTTGGGATGAACAAAAAAACTGATAGTTTTCCTCCTCATTCTTCAGAATGAAGCATCACACTCAGACACCCTATTTACATTTCCTTTCAAACCTTGTCGCATTTTACGACACTCTGATAATTGTCACATAAGGGTCAAAGTTTACAAAAAAACTAATAAAATCTAAAAAGTATATTTTAGGGTTCTGCAGTAGGGGGGTGAGAATGTGGAGGCATTTAAGAGCCAGCTGTACTTCGGTTTTCACTTTGTCAATAGACAACATCACTGCACTTAACATGCATCTAAATTCCAAAACTGCCTCCTCAGTTGAGGATTCCTACAATGATCATGCTGTTCTAATCCTCTCAAAAACATGAAAAGTGGTTTTTGTACTCCTGATCCTCTGGCCATAACATGATCCTTAGACTTTGGCCAGATGATATTCGTACAAAAACCACTCCACAGAAGAACAACAAAAAAGAGCATAGAACTAAAAATGCTGTCCGAGTGTACACAACACAACTGACAATTAAAAAATAATAATTTAATCTAGAGCAGGGCAAAACTTGGCCTATCTGATGTTTGAGAGTGGTAGGTACATGGAGCATAGTGACCAATGTGAATGGAACCATTTACCAACAGCACAATGGATGGTAGAGAGATTACTGTATATCAAGCGGACCAGTCTCCTCTTTCAGGTTTCCTTTCAAGCTTGGTCACATTTACATTTAATTGCAAAAAATGTTGCTATTCCAAGATCTGAAATACTTACAGAAAACATGAAGTTTGACTTGGCTCTTCTCTGTTTTACCACCACATGTAACTTCACACCTGTATAAGCCTTCATCAGAAATTTTCAAATCTGGAAAAGTGAACATGCTGTTCCTTCTGGATCTGGAGTTATCATCAGTACTTTCAGCTTTGTACCAGGTGTACTGCACCCCAGGACATGGCTCATGAAAGTTACAGGTCAGGGTGAACGAAGTGCCGAGTTTTACCCAGAGTGGGTTGTCTGCTGGAATAATCTGGATGACAGCCCCGTTCTCGTAACCGGCTAGTGAAAGCAAAGAACCTGTTACAAGAATACTAAAAGAACTTCTCCAAGGAACTGCATGACCTGCTTAAACACAATTTGAGATATTATCCAGTGCAAAACAAGAAAAGCTGCTACACAATGCAAATTGCTAGACATATTTTATTGTAGACAAAAAAAAAACGGATGATTTGGACCTCATCTGAACACTGCATTGAGAAAACAGCTGCATGGACTACTTATATAAACTAGCAAATGCACCTTATTAATTGCTAACCTGTATTCTCTAAGTACATTCATTGGTAATGACACTTCTAATCAGTCTATTCACATTAAAAATGTTAATAGTCCTTTCCTGACTATATAGAGATATACGCTTTATAAACACTGTTTATGGAAGAAACCTATTACTTGTTCCTACACTGTATAAGTTAACCAAAAATAACAAATTCCTTCAAAACCAGGGGATACTTCAAATCTCTCACAGACATTACATAAAAAGAAATATTCCTACTCAAATTCCTTACAATACTCTTACTCCAATAAAACTGATCCAATTTAATAAAAACTCAGTGTGATCATATCATGATATTGATTTGAAACAAAACTATAAATGTGCGGTCTCTCATGTTTTCTACAAACAAAAAAATGATATTCGCGAATCCTGTTTTAGCTTTTGAGTTTAAATTGCTTTCAACTATGTTTTAATCGTATCAGATTATACTAAATTACAGTTACCACATCTGTAATTGAAGTTAGTCTAAGGACTTGATCTTGATTGTTTAAAATAATTTGTTTATAATAAAACCGCGTGAACTATTTTATCTTTAAATTACAAATATGTTTAATCATCACGAAAAGAGAGTCCTGCAACCGAAGACATACTGTATAATTCTTAGCGTAAAACCGTAAACCGTAAAACCGTCGGTGTAATTTCAATGATATGGTACAGAAAAAGCCTATATATGCATATAATCCCAATAATTGTTGAGCTTTTAGTAAGACAAGTGGAATGTTTACCTGAGCTTTGGAGGATAAAACACAGTCCTAGAACAGCGAGATTCTCTAGATCCATATTTAAATTGCCGTTTGATGGAAAAACATCACCTTTGCAATGCTTACGGAAGAAGACTATTCAATAATAATTCAAAACGACTAAAGTGCTTTCGGTGGACTGGAAACTCCCAGTGTACACCGTACCCTTCCTGTTATTACGGTCCAAGTTGCATAATGAGTAAAAGTATGATCATCGCGAATCCTAGATAAGTCCCAGAACAGAACAGAGGCCATGACTTCGGCGAAAATAAGTGACCTTGAAAGTAATACTACAACATAAATACAAAAGTACTTTAAAAACACCAGCTTCAAATCAGTTCGAATTATACTTGATTTGCAGGTATCCAATCACAATATAAAATATTTTCCACCTGCGTTCTCTGGTTCGTTTTTAACGGTTCCTACAGTTCCTTCTGAAGAAATCCCGGGGGTGTCTATGCCACTGACTTTGAGGATTCTGAATTCTTGTATCAGGTCCCCTCTTTTTCCGCTCTGTTAAAGGCCGAAAAGGTTCAGCTCCTTCAGCCTGTTAGTGTAAAACACTCCTTGAAGCCCCAGAATGATTTTGGCTGCTGTTGTGTGGACTGATTCCACAATAGCAATATATTTTCTATAACCTGTAAAATTGTATTGTAATATAGTATTCTAAATGAGGTCTTACTAGTGTGATATAAAGTTTTAACTTAATATACTTTGATATAAATTTAATACTTATTACTATACTGTATTTTATATATTGGTGCTAATTGTATTGTTTCCCCACATTGTTTGGAAGGTGCACAGTAAATTATGTGCCAACAAAAATAATTAAGACTCTTTCATAAACAGCTTCTTCAGAGTCACTATTTCACATTTCATATCTATAGTTTTTATTTTTGCCTGTAATTCTTTTCATGAATCTACATTGAACTGTCATTACCTGCAAGGTGTTTTCCCAGTCTTGAATTAAATCTATTTTTTGTGAATTCTCTCAATTCACTTTCACCTTTAACTGGAACTGTAAACAACATGGAGATCTGGAGACCTTCTGCTACTGGGACACCTGATAGGGTTCCCAGCACTCTGTGTATCCAAAATAAGAACATCTGGAAAACCTCGTCTAACAAATCAAATTCATTTTTAAAGCTGCTAAAACTCTAGTAGAAGTTATTCAAAGTAATGGGACAACAGCAAATCTTACTTAACCCTGTTCTAAACTATTACATACTGTAACAGTTTCACCGGCATCATACTTCAAGTGCAACTGTAACTGTCACAGTTCCGCACGGGCTCGTGCCCAACACCACCCGTTTCGCCCTGCAACACCTGGGGAGCGAACCTGGGTCTCTAGCATAACGCGACAGGGAACCAGCCGCAAGAGCTAAAGGAGACCTCCCTTGGCACAGGCAGCTGAGGTCCCTGCTGCGTGCAGGGAGGGCGATGACGTCACCATATCCGAACTAGCTCCGCTACACAACTGTGAAACAGCTGGAAGAACTGGATTGGAGATGCCGGGCTCTGTTTCACTGATGAGATGGTGTTCTTTTCTTGCTGCTTCTTTCATTCTCCACACATTAACCCTTTCATTATTTTGATAAATGTGTATCTTGGCCTTATTTGTCCATAAAGCTTTGTTCATTCCAGCATCCAGCAATACACTTAGGAGGGTCACTTACAGGATAGTAGTGGGATTGCATGATCAAGATCCCTAAATGAATAACACAGACCCAAAATAACATGTTAAATCCCCCCTTAAATTTAACCAGAAACTTTTACAAACCACTAAAAGCACAGAATGATGGAGGAGGTGGGTTTGAATAAATTAAGGATACCATTGGTTTGCTCAACAGTGTGAGAATCCTCTTTAAAGGATAATTTATTCCTTCTGTTGAATATCTATGTGTGTATCAGGGACCTCAAATAGGCATTGTCACACAGTGCCAGGTAATGCACGATTTGTTTGAAGAGCATGGACTTGACTTCTGTCACCTTTGCTTTGCAGGAATGTCATGGTCGTCTTCCTTCTTCTAGAGGATGCTTCTACCTTCTTTGGTATTGATTTTAGTTTCATTATCCCCAGCTGCGTCTTGTTTCTTTTGTGTTATTTAAACCTGGTGTCTCCGTAGTTCTGGGCTCAGCATTGGAAGATGGATGTCCGAAGGCCTGCCTATCACCAGGCCTGGAGTATCCTGAGGACATCGGCCTTCACCCCGGTGTCCTGAACTACTGAGTCCAGGTCTCAGAGCACCTGGTCCCGTTAAGGTTATATTTCTCTGTGTTCTTGGTCTTGGTTCCCCTTCCAGGGGATTTTAACTGTCTTCATCCCAGATGGATCTCCTGGTTCATGGAATATGGACTGTACCCTGACAACCCTTTTGGACCTCCCTGAACTTGGTTGCTTTTGCTTTTCACCGTGCACTGGATCACTACAGTCACCGTCCCCTGTCTGTCAACTCGTCCTAACCCTGCTGTTTCTTCCACGATGTCCGTCTCCAGACTCTTCTGGATTTTACCGTCATACATGGGGTCTTTACTACACACTTCACGTGAGTCTGACCCAGCTCCCATGACAAGGAAGTACTGCAACAATGTGCAGTTCAATCCCACAAATCCCAACCTCAGTTGAAGTCTTCAGGATGAATGGGACTAAGCTGAAAATGTTTCAGAACCTTGTGGAATACTTGTAACATAATGTACATCCTGTGCAAAGTTTCTTGCTTTGAAAGCCAGAACACATTATGTGTGTCATGCATGGTGTTTGGTGGGGGCAGAGAGTGTGTCTGTTTTCAGTTGTCTGTTTTCAGCATGGGGGACAGCTCATTTTGTTCATTAAAAATAATAGTCTAATGTTCTTGGCACAGTCAGGCAGGTGTCAGTGTCTTGCTAGGGGAACGGATATGGTGTGCAGATGTTAGACTTCCCTCACAACCCAAGTCCAGTCAGATAATCACAATTCTGGTAAAGGGCATCAATACAAATTCACCCTCATTAATGTTATTCTAGTGCTTTCTTGTCCCAGAGTCAACGGGTGTTCTTAAGGCATGCTTGGGAATATGTTGGTCCATGCATAATCTCTTTAATTTGCCATCAAATTTAGAAAATAGCATTATGAAAAGAGATCTGGCCAGACATGTTAACTATACTACACAATTATGTATGATTAGAAGAACTACCAATGGTCACATTTTGACAAAAAAATTGCACTATATTGAATTTATTCTATATTTTATTTTTATGAAATATCATCAGTTTGTGAACAGCATTGTGGCAGAGTGATTAGCATTGCTTTCTCACAGTGCTGGGGCCCTGGGTTCAAATCCTGGGATCCTATCTACTTAGAGTGTTCACATAGGATTTTGCTAGATGCAACTGTTTCTTCCCACAGTACAAAGACATGCTGCTACTGTAAGTTAATTGGCTTATGAGAACAATGATTGTGTCCGTCTTTGTGTCTGTATGTGCCCTGCGATGGACTGACGTGCGGGCCAGGCCGTATCTCTGTTGTGCCTATTGCTTGCTGGAATAGGCTCCGGCTCCTCCACGAGCCTATTAGAAAATAGATGGATCATTAATTTGTGCTGCAATTTGAATTCCACGTGATCCTTCTTTCGCCAGTTCAGTTCCATATTTGACAAGAATTAATACCTAGTTGCTCGTATTGGAGTTTCTGACTTTGTTTCGAAGTTTCGGTAAAAACGCAATCTAACATTTATATTTGTTACACTGTTTAAAAATATCTATAATAACGAAACAAAAATAAATTTCGAGACTTCGTTGTACCAGCAGAATACGCCGTCTTTGCTTTTCTAAATAAAACAAATTTCGAGTTCAAAATAACGTGTAACACATTTTGAAAAAACATTGTTTACATTCATAGTTCTGCGTTATACAGTTACACAGGTAAATGTGTCATTTGATCCTCACAATGGTGCTTATAAAATAGTTTCAGTTAATTTCTCCCGAGAAAGCTGCTCTGTTGTTTTGTTTCGGAAAGGACTGAGAGACAGTGTGTATCGCCACAGGCTCAACACCCACAGTGGAACCTCTCCATACCTCCCGCCTCATCACAGACCTGATGGACTTGCGAAACTCTTCGTTTTTCCATGTGTACAAAAACGGGTTCACAACAAAGAGAGCAGCAAAGATCATCCAGGATACCGTCTGAGTCACCTTGGGGACTGCCCCAAAGAGCCCGAGAAATAGGACCCAGAACAGGGGCTGAGTGGCGAGGAGAAAGATACAGCATACAGCCAGCACGTAAAAACCCAGGCGCTTGTCTTTTCGTGAGAAAGAATAAGGGAGATTGTTCACAATCTGAAAATTTAAAATGCTGACTCTTTTCACACTGATTTGCACTTTTCGAAATATTTTAAAATAACAGTAAAGAATCACAATTGTCTGTGCCAAGATAGTTAAGGCTAATGTCCCGCCAGCATATGGGTTTAAAAGGATAGATTTTCTCCTGGCGAAAGGAGCTAAAGAAACCTGTGGCGCTGCGCATCCTGGATCTGGGAACCGCGCCGCTGTGAGCCACGGCAGGAGGATGATCACCGCTGCCAGCCAGGACACCACTATCATCCATTCAGTGTTTCGTTTTTGATAGATGGACAGGTAGGTAGCTGGGACTTTTGTTATTAAGACGTACCTGTTCACAGCGATTAAAGAATGGGAAAGAAGTGAGACATCAACCCCAAGGAAGAGAAGAGCTTCTTTGAACGTATGGTATCCCCGTGTGAGAGGGATATCTGTGGATATCAGGATCGCTTCATGTGACATCCAGAAAGCGCACACCAGGAGGTCCGCCAGGCATCCGTTCACAATGAATGCGTTGCTGGCCGTCCTCAGTTTTTTAAACGACAAGACCAGGTAAATGACCAGGAGGTTGGAAGCAGTCCCGGACAAGCACATTAAGGAATAGACTATAGCGAGGGATATTTTCGAACTGTACTCCTCTTCACATTCAAACAGTTGGTTTGATGCGTTTTTCATTTTTTTCAAAATGTTTATTCAAAAGAGTAAAATGTAATCAACGCTCCTTCAGCGCCGGAGAGACACGCACTTTCATCTTAACAAAATGCTGACAAGCTTTGTGATGTTGCGGAAGGAATGAACAGACCGCAGCGCAGCTCCACCAAGGCGTCTGTTCAGTGATGACTCGAGCCAGCGAGAGAGCAATATCCATCTATTACACCTGCTGCCAGCTACTATACCCGAATTCATGAATAATTCAGAGGAAAACAAATAAAACCTACTTGGCAATCAGTGAGCTTGGGGCTAAAGAATATCGTACTGTTGTCATCCATCTATTGAAAACATCAACGTAGATAAAATGCATCCCAAGGAACTCCCAATGCGCCGACAGTTTATACTTTACTGAACCCCACTCTGAATTTGTTTCAGTACAAGAGATTTTTATTTTAAAACTTCACCAGAAGTAATAAAACATAGCTGCGTTTCTCATCTATTCTACCATTCAAGGAAAATGTGACCCATTCAAAAGGCTTTTTCATCCAAACTCTGCATAACTCACTTTGTCCCCACTGCTGGTTTTCTTGTTGCACTCAAAAAAACAGCTTTATCAAGCAAATGGTCCGAAATTCAGCACCAACAACGTATCAGCACTTTTGTGCAAGAAGAGAACTTTAAGGGATAAAATAAATATACCTATTAAAAATCAGATTTGATGATAGTGCACTCTTATGTCGCAGTGCACACACTGACACCCTGTCTGTCCAGCCCCGAGCTTGTACAGGCACAATCCAAGTCCAACCTTATTCACATTCAACACCATAATGTTCTTTTTCGTATTATTATTCAACAACCCTTTCCTTTCTTTGCCCTCAGTGTCTAGAGGCCATAGTATTGCACTTCTGGAGTTCATAATGAAACTTTGCGCAGGAGTCAAGTTCAATAGACCTCACTTATAATAATAATAATAATAATAATAATAATAATAATAATAATAATTGCTTACACATATATATCACTTTTCTGGACACTCCACTCAAAGCGCTTTACAGGTAATGGGGACTCCACTCTACCACCACTAATGTGCAGCATCCACCTGGATGATGTGACAGCAGCCATAGTGCGCCAGAACGATCACCACACATCAGCTAACAGTTGGGAGGAGAGCAGAGTAATGAAGCCAATTCATAGATGGGGATTATTTGGAGGCCATGATTGGTAAGGGCCAATGGGATATTTGGCCAGGACACCGAGGTAACACCCCTACTCTTTTTGAGAAATACCCTAGGATTTTTAATGACCACAAAAAGTCAGGACCTTGGTTTTACATCCCATCCGAAGGACAGTGGCTGTTTACAGTATAGTGTCCCTGTCACTATACTGGGGCATTACGACCCACATGGACCACAGGGTGAGCACCCCCTGCTGGCCCCATTAACTCCTCTTCCAGCAGCAACCTTAGTTTTTCCCAGGAGGTCTCTCATCCAGGTACTGACCAGGCTCACATCTGCTTAGCTTCAGTGGGTTGCCAGTTGTGAGTTCCAGAGTGATATGGCTACATGTCCTAAATTGTAATGATTCCAGATGTAATTTCCTCAAGTTAAAAAACACGATACATAAGCCCCTTCTAATCTTCACTTAAGTCAAATTTAAGATAATGAAAACAATCAATACATATTTTCAATATACCTAAATCTTGGGTCTTGTTATTCCTAGTAACCTGGTCTTTGTTGAACGTAAGAGTAGAAGTTTGTACGTTAAAGACCTGAGGGTATCATAAGATCTCCAAGAGATACAGAGGACCCTGAACCTGAGTGCTGAAAAGATGGAAATAATGTAACCATGGCCAGCACCCCACCAAGCTACTGGAGAGAAAGCAGAGCTTCCCAACAAAATGCCAATTATTATCTGTGTTGAATCATTATGTAATGAGCAGCAGGCAACAATAGGTAATGTTCTTGTTTAGACCAGTGCACATCGAAAACATCTCTAAAACATAACTGCTGCTGGGCTGTGCTGGAACATGTGTCAGAAAATACCTATAGCTCTCTATGAACAGAGTGTATATAGGTGAGCAGGGACAGCTGTTCTAAAATAGTGTGTATCCCAATCAGTCTCAAAAAATGAAGGTGAATCAATATATGTTGTCCCAGACATTTTTTCCTGGTAAAACAAAATCACCATTTTCTGCAGACTGGAGACGATTTCATTTCAATGATTTCATAAATCTGTACTGGCATAGAGTTGACCAGAACAACAGTTGCTTTTTCAGTTCAGAAACTCTTGAGATCATTAGTATGGACCAACATTTTTGTGAAAACTGACATTGACAAATTTATAATTTTGCTGGGGCCCAGGGACCCCCAAACTGTGGGTCTCCAAGAGCATGGTTCAGCAACCCTGATACAGACAGTGCACCTCACTTTCCAGTGCACTCTGGCTCCATGGCATCTACAAATATATCAAGACCCTAACTGAACAGGAGCACCGCCCAGTGGTGGGACAGGGCACCATGGGCAATGGGACATGAATAAATGGAGACTACAAACAGAAATAAAATAAAAGACTTTGTGGATGTGAGAAATTGGAGACTGGAGTGGATCTTGGTTACAAGTAAGGTTTTTGGCATCTGTGCCATGTGTGGAGTTTGCATGTTTTCCATTGAATCTGTAGAGCTGTGCTGCCTGTCACATGTTAAAAGATGTGTGGCTTTAATGTGAACATGAGAAGTCTGCCTGCTCTTCATCATTCCCCCCTGTCCTGTCTGTGGCTGCGGAGTTCATAACTGCATGTCAAGATGTTAAAAACATGCAAATGATAATTTCCCTGTAGAACTAAATGGTGGAAACCCACGTGAATATGGGGAAAAATACAAACTCTATGTAGACAGAACCCCAGGTCTAGAAATTAACTTGGGGCCCCAGCACTGCAAGGCAGTAATGTTAACCTTTGTGCCTCCATGGTACACCTGTCTAGTTCCTTTATGGTTTATTTCATGATATTTTGTTTTTGTATTTCCTACAAATTTGACTACAATTCCTGACCTGCATAATGACTAGAGTATATGTGACATCTTTTATATTTACCCTAAATATGTCAAGTATTTATCCCTTAAACTAGCACTGAAAAATAAGCGTGCTGAGTCCCAAAGCATTACTAGACCCTTTAGCTAATGAACACAATTCCTAAATGTGCATGTTAGCAATTGCTACTATGAAGAAGCAATTAGGACAAAAAACCATTAACATTTCAATGATTTACTGAATTCATTAGCTTAGTCTTACCACTGGCTGATAGTCCTTTCAGCCTCCCACAGATAAACATTATCAAAGGGTAGGAGCAAAAAAGATTGCAGTTCTGTGCAGCATTAAAATGCAAGTGTCCTTTTGCACTAAACAAAACATTATTATTTAAAGATCTGCAAGAAAAAAAGGTAGATTTACTATTAATACAAAGACAAAGGAAGACGAATAGGGTTTTTAAACAGTGAACAGGACAGAAATACATGAAGACATTGTTATAAGAGTCACTTACTGTAAGCTGTGGTTCTACATGCAGGAGTAAGGGAAAGCTCTGCTTATCTCTGCACTACGATGTGGGAATTGTCTATTGAAGGGCTAGAAAGTCAGTGCTCACTGGTTGTGCAGAAGTGACCATCCGTGCTGGAAAAATGTGTATTTAATGGAAACAATATTATACTCTCAATTATTAGGAATCAAAGAAACCATGGATGTAATGTGATGACACCAGGAATGGTTTTGCTATATTTAGATAAAGCTTAAAAGCCAGGAAGAAGAACAATGCGGTGCAATCAAAACCGAATCACTAACAGCAGATTTATAGCCTTAGTACAAGCTGGCCAAGTAAGGGTGCACATAGCCAGACTGGAACCAAGGTGTGTCAGTGATACTCTATTGTTTCTTTCAAAGTTAAGACTTTCAAAAATGAAACTAATCCAGTGCACGTGACATTTGAAGTTTAGTACATACAGCGTCTCTGGGTAGCCTGTATCGGTCATTTAAATTATTATAACTAAAGGCAAGATGAAAAACACGAGATGTAAGTAGCACGTATGTGATTTGCAAACATCTGTACAGCACATTTCAATTGCTGCTGCAATAAACATTTAAGACCGCAAGATGGGCTACAAATGTCAGGAGGGCATTCACTTCTTTTTGCTCATTTAGTTGCAAATTGTGTGTTGATCCCAGAACCTCTTCAAAATGATTCTTGAAGTATCCCTGTAAATCAGATTTCACTGTGCTCTGTACTCAGACCTGTAACTCTGTAACAAAGTGCCGGATATCTTCTAAATTCTCTTGCAATTAAATTCCTTTGTGTCCCTTGATCCTATTGTAAGTTCAGATTAAATGAAAACTTTGACTCACTCACTAAACAATTAGAAAAAGTCCATTACTTGGGGATACATATTCATAGGTGGGGGAAATGGTAGATGGGATAAATACTTTGGCAAAAAAAAAAAACATTAAAGCTCTAGGCTTGTTTTTAACTATTAATGAGTTTTTTTTTTACTTTTACAAGTACAAGAATAAAGGTGAAAGTTTTATCATTGGTTTTTTTCTGTACTGTAAAGAACAGTTTCAAACTATTAAACCTGTTTTTTTCTAACCTTAAATGGGGTTCTTCTGACTTCTCAGTTCGTGTTAAAACTTGCAGTCTGAGACTTATTCTGGATGCTCTTAAAAAAATATTCATGGAATAAATTCAATACTTTTAAATAGATGAGACTGAGATGTTGTCTAAGCAATTTTACCTTTAGAGAAGTGAATATTTTGTGCAATTGAATCTTATGAAAAACCCACCTATGTCTAAGTAAGAAAATAATGAGGTGAATTTTGAATCAAGTGCTGAAACTGGAATAAAAAACCAAAACACATCAGGCCCTCGATGAATTGGGTCTGAGGCATCTGTACTAAAGCCCAGTGAATTCTGCCAGCTATTAGTGTGAGAACTGAGCTTGTATTTAGATCTCTATAAAAACTAATATAATTTTGCATGTTCCACCACTTTCACTAAATTACAGCTTGTCCATCTGTTTTGCATTTGCTATTCCAATCTTTGGTCATTTCAATGATACAGACACAATGAAAACTATTATTCTAAAGGAGCTTTGCACATCATTATGACAAAATATAAAACCCCAAAATGAAATTATGCTAATTCACTTGGGGAAAAAAATCAATCACTTTCATTCTTTTTACCCCCAGAGGATGCTGATTAATCAGTGTTCATTCCAGCTCTCCAGTTTAATGCCCTTTGGCAGGGTAACTTTCAATCCCATACTCAAAAACCTTATGTATAATAATACAGTATGTATCACCTCTCCACATGATCTAAATAGTCAATGACTCTCACACCCTGTCTCTTAGTGGCTTGTGGACACTAGACTGGCAAAGGTTTGTGCAACACAACTTTCCAGCTGCACCACACTGGTTCTCATTGAGCCAAATCCCAGACGTCTTCCCATCTTGAATGGAGTAATTAAGGAAAACAGATCAGGCGGTTACAGTATTAAAAATCAAATAAATGATTGTGTACCACTCATATGTGGCCTGCATTGCCTTCAAGAATGAGGGGAAGCCCAAAACTGAACTGACAAATACCTTTATGGGTTAGTGCTGATTGGATTAGTGAACATGATCAAAGAACAACACAATACAGTTGTGTTGCACTGAAAAAAAACATCTGGTCTTTGAGTGTTTCAATAAATAGTGCTCCTTCACAGAGTCAGCTGCTTTTAAAATAGTTTTCTACAGAGAATGAAGTCAGTTCATAAGAAAATTTAAAAACAATAGGAGGCCCTTCAAATCATCTGGCACATGTGGTAGTTAGCAGGTCATTGATCCAAGGAACTCATCCAGCTGTTTCTTGAGGGAAGCTAGTGTCAGATTTGACAACACTGTCACCATTGAACAAGCTTGGTAGCTTCTTCTATAACCCCACATCCTTTTGTGAAAAGAAGTGTAACCTGTTCTTGGTTCTAAAATCCACTTCCACATAGTTTCCACTTGGGTGCTCTGGATCATTTTTCATTGTTTACTCTGAAGAAATAAATTGGGATGACATTGTCAAGGTCTGTGAAGACTTTGAAAACTTGTATCACAGCCCTTTGTAGTTATCTCAGTACAAGTCTAAAAATACTTTCTTTCCAGAAAAAAATCCAGAGCAACAATATCTTGTCTACAATATGTTGACCAGAACTTTATCTAAATGTTTTACATTTCTTTTCTAGTTTCATTTCATACAGTGTATGCTAATCCTTTTAATTTGGCATCATCTGCAAACTTTACTATCTTTTTATTCCAGAATCTAAACTATTGCTATCAATTAAGAGAAGTGGTTCTTGTACAGATCTCTGCAGTACGCGCTAATTACAACACCACAGTTCACGATCTGTATCCTGTTTTCTGTTTAATAAATTCTTGATCCAAACACCTGGGAATGTATGTAGTTACTCTTGTCTGGATTAATTCAAGAATGGCATTATCTTTCTGTAATGTGGTGGCTACATTTGTGCGCAATATTCTAAATGAAGCCTTACTTGTGCCTTATACAATTTTAAATGTAGCAACCCTTGATTTTAAGGTTTTGAATTCCATTGCTTTCCCACATGAGCTAGCAGTCTTGGTCTCTGCTTTCCTTTAAAAGGGTCTGGAACACTGCTGTTAAATAATTGCTTCAGAACTGAACACTTGTTTTTCAGCTCCTCCTCACCTTCAAGCCATTTGTCTATGATCCCATCACAGGCAGCACCTCAGTCACTGCTGATTGGAGAAGAGTGCCCCTCCCCGACAGCACTACAGGGGGCACTGTGGAGCTGAAGGCCACACCCTACATTTGGCCGTCGTCAGCCAGCTGTGTACAGGGTGTTTAATGGCTTCAGGATGACTCCAGACAGCTGGAATTTAACTAATTGTTTGAATATCCCATTTTGAACATCATTTCCATCAAACGGAAATGGTAATTGATTTTTGAAAGACTACGAAAAGCACTACTTGTGTTCCTCACTGTTCACCTTTCAATGTCCTGGTATCAACATGAGTGTGAAGGTGACACATGAATACGGGAGCTTTTAGGAAAACCCAACAGACAGCCACCAAAAGAGAAATTGCCTCTGAATTGTTAAGCTTAACAGATGCAGTTCAATTCAGTTTATTTCTTTTGCAAACTCTTTACATTGTTTATATATATGATATAAAAGAACAGCAAAATACTGATCTACAGTAATGAAGTTATATTTTTTATACACACCTCAGCAAAAATAAGTATTTTACAGCTATTCTCTGTATGGTTCAAGAGGTAGAGTTACCTTTTCGGTAAGATACTCCCATAGCTTTATATACATAGAAATCCATTCCAATAATAGGAATGTACAGTTCTACAAGTACAATACATGTCAAACAATGATTCTGATCAGCAGCTGGACACAGAAAAGATTCTGTCTTTAGATTTAAATCATTAGAAATGATCAAAAGAAAGTAAAACAATTCTAGTCAAACATTAACACTTTTACCATTGTCAGTCTAGTTAAAAAGTTCAAAATTAAAGAATTTGTTGATAAATGACGAGTCTTCACTAGGGAGGTGAGAACAGTTATTTCTTCCCCATTATTTGTCAGCTAAAAAAAAAATCCCCAAATTCATTTAACCACACCTCTTGCTTCTGCCTGAACACATAATAATGCCTCCCTTAACTTTCATAATCACCAAAAGTTAAAAGTAAAACTGATGTTAACGCACATAGACATAATCAGTAAATTAAAACACAAATAAAAACCGTAGAATAATGTATTATACTGTTGCTACACATACAACAGCAATCAAGCCAATAAAATTAAGGGAAGGTGCATAGAGAGGTGACTAGATCAGATGTCCTGGACGGACCAGCAGGTTTTGTGCATGTGGACTGTGGATCATTGTTAAGGACTTTGGACATGAGCAGAGCCACTACCATGTTAAATTATACATTTTAAAAGAGAAAGCTGGAATTGAACTGTGTCAGCCTCATGGCTAAAATGGTATTTTTTCACATGATGTGGCATCAGTGTTAAGCCACATAGTGCCTGTCTGCGTGAGAAATACGAAAAGTGAGGAATTTTCACTGGATATAATTGGTTAATAAGCAGAAATTAACTGGTTCAGTAATGTCTGTGTATAAAATCAGATGATGGTGTAAGAGATTCCTAAAATAATAAGAGACACGCAAGGAAGTCCACCGCCACAATGTGTTGCAAATTCCTAACTTAACACATCAGGTCTGAAACTCTCCTTCCAAAAAATGACAACACCCTCAGTAACATCGGCTTCAAAGGATTACTGGTCACATAGCAAAATGCGTTCCCTCCCAGAAGAAGCACATTAAACATTAACATAACATTTAAATGCACAGTCTCTTCAGTGTGTGCTTGAAAATACTTCATGTTCAAAAATAGTTTGAGGATGCATTATTCTTCCTAAAAAGAAACACAAGTGGCTCCATGAAGCACACTCATGGAAAAAAACTAAAAACCTCTGTTTATATATGTATGTAAATGATATAAAACCATTTAAAAAATATCCTCTCTTCATATAAAAACATTCATACCCCAGGCTTGGTGAAGTGAGCCCGGGGTGGTACTGTAAAGATGCACTGATGAAGTAAACGGAGATACAGCAGCAAGCCCAGAGTGCCAAGGCGGGCAGGGGCAGGGACTGGAGCCTGCACCTGGGCTTGCTGTGCTCCCACAGACAAGTCCACCCACATATTGGCTTGCACTGCTTTTATTCTCTACAGCAGTGTTCCACGCATGGAGGCAGAAGGAGGAGGGGAGCTGTCCAGGCTTGCAGGGTCTCCGATGAGTCCCTGTCCGACGGCACTGTCAGGATCACTGCAGTACAGCTGTTTTAGTATTGAACATATTCAGACTGAAGGGACTAAAAGGAAAAAAATGGAAAAGCAGAAAACAGCAGTGTGTTAAATTGGAGAAGCCAACTGAAAATGTAAAGGCAGAATGAGATGAAGTGGGTGCAAAATTCTGCTGAAAAGTCTGTATACAGTCTTCATATCAGGGGGAAAATATTGCAGTTGTGGGAAGATGTATTCTGATTCACCATTTAGATGTTTCAATAATCCTGTAATTGTGGCCAATAATACCCAGATTTACACAATAGATTTGTACCATACTTGAGGGTAATATTAGAATCACACAGAAATGGTGGTTTATCACATTCAGACTAGAAAATAAAGTTAATCTGTCAATGGCAAGTTATTCTCACAGTGTATATATATATGGAAAACAAATAGTACGTTCCCAATACTTCTATTTTCTTCCCTGCTTTTGACAAGAGCTAAGGCTCGTATGCCCAATCTTCAAGTTAAAAAGCCATGTAAACTTCAAGTTTGCACTTGGTCAAGAACATCTTTAAAATAGTAAACAGTCACTTAATATTTCCGGACTAGAAAAGTAAATGGAACAAGGACAGCCTTGTGTCTGGCTCTCCAGCAGCTGCAGGGGGTTATAAAGGAAGAGGATTAGTTTGATGGGTTCCAGCAGATGTTGGCACAAAATGGAACTGGCAATTTCTACAGTACATGAGAAAAAAGGAGATGGACATGGACCGAACAGCAGAGAGCATTCATACAACACTCCCTGACATATTCCAGGCTACTGCTTCTGTTCCCTCTTTCGATGTCTAAGCTAAAAAGTAAAAGGTAAAGATCTGATATAGGAACCTAAATGCTTTCCTATATTTGCCTATACTCCTATACTTTCCAGGGTATAGGAGCCTCCAAGGGTTAGTTTAGATCAGGGGCTCTTCACAATCTATATCACACTGCCCACAGGGCCTCTCAAGGTTCAGAAGATGCAGCTACAGCAATCGCACTATACTGCAGCTTCCCTCACTAACCGGTTGACATTTTACCACGTCCTTACTGATCTTTCCTCTCACCTTCATCATCAGCAATGAATGCTAACTGATCAACTACCTGCCTCTACCAGTGCTTATCCTATGCTCTGTCTGCAGCCCTTTTCTAGATTATAATGTTTCAGTACATGCAACCTTGAGGTGCGGAGGCCTAGGACCTTGAGTTTAATCAAACTGTCCAGCAATCTGGTATGCATCAGCTGACCAGCTCCATCACTTCATTCAGAATGGTGAAAGTAGCAGCCACTAAAACCTTAAGATCAGGGTCTGCAAGAAGTCCAATGTAACTAATTCACAAACATATACAAACATAAAACTCACCTATATGAGGTACTAAGAGGTGGCATTGTGAACAAGCCGCCTGTTGATTGGAAAAATGAGTCACAGCTGGTCTAAGTAATTAGTACTCAGAGGGAGTGAATACAAAGGAAGAGAGCTGCTGGGATAGGCTGTGCATGGAATTAACCACATCTCCAGTCTAATTAAGAGTCTTATAAGAATATTTTAGAGGAAAACAGTTTCAGTCTGAGTCTAGTCTCCATTATGGAAAGATGGAGAGTGAGAGCACCAGAGGAGAGTTCTCATTAGTAACAGACTGGGCTTGCTTAGAGGCCTGTGAGACTTAGGGAGCGAGAGATGCTTGAGAAATCACAACTTCAGGTTCCTAGTCTGCAGGTGCTAGACAGGCAGGCTGTGTTGTTGTTTGACAGGCACAATTTGTTGAAATATGCTGCAAAGGAACAGGGTTGGCCATCTGTACAAAGACACACTAACATACTAATCTGAATGAATATGACTGTGCAGTCTTCCCTAGGAGGGGAATACTGAAAGAGCTAGAATCCCAAAAAGAGAACCGAAAAACAAAGACAGACCTCTTAAAATGTGAAAAGCTAAGGTAATATGCTGCCATTGTTGGGATAGAGATGACGTGTGTGATGCCATGCATCTCAAACCATAGAACTCAGGCCCTTTTTATAGATGGATAAGTCTGAATGTTGTCCTCCAGCAACATACTGGCTATAACTGGGAAAGCTGATGATTGAAAACATCTGTAGTAGTCAGCTGAACTAGTAATGAAACACACTTCTATTGCTGTGAAAGTCTGCCTTTCCCAGTGATAAAGAGCAACACTGGAGCTGTGATTGTCCACCTGTGGTTGAAAACAAGACTAGACTACCCCTCATTCCTCTGTAGCTAGGCCAGGCACCATAGGTATGCAAGGCATTTCAAGTCCTTCCTGGGCTCTACTGCCTCTGTCCTCATGAAACACGGAACAAAGTAGGTACCGAGGGCTGTACAAATGTTCATGATCTCTGGCCAATATGCTGCCAAAAATGGTTACAATTTTCATGTTAAAAAAACTGCACCAACAAAGAAATATTAGCAGCAGAACAGTGACTAAAATAATAATGCAATACCACAGAAACACTTAAACATCTTTCAGTTTGATATCAAAGCAATTACTGTCATGGAGTCCTTCTCCACAAGAAAACAATTTATTCACATGTCATTTCTTAAGTGCTGCACTGCATTAACGGCTGCCAGGTGGAAAACAATGACAATGACACTAAGTTTTTTTTAGACTAACATACAAAGAAACTAGTCTTTGAAAATATTAGATTTTCGACCCAAACCAAATCAAGAAGCCTGTGAAAACAGAAGATAAACCAGAAAAGAGAGGATAAAAAAATGGGCAGCAACCAGAGCTCCTTCAACAAGCAGCTGCAGCCATACCAAACACTGCTCAGTGTTCTATGGAAGTTTGAGCCTGTTTACAAATAATGTCCTGAAGAAGAGAGGTGCCCTAACATCCCGGGACATGATAGCAGGCCTGTCATCCATGTGGATAGCGAGAGTGAATTAGAGAGAGTAGGCATTTAAAATACACTAAAAAAATGTGGTCCTAAAAACCTTCAGAAAACATTTATACTATATTATTGGTCAAACCATCACTTTCAAAAATCTTTCTAATTACATGCAGTTAGTAATTACTACATACTGCATATTTCCCAGATGTTTTTTTAGTTTCTGGAGACCGAGAATAACTTGTGTAAGTTCATGATCAAATTTATTACCATTTTAGCCCTTTTAAAATATTATGGGTTTTATTGTGAGAAAATTTAAAGAAACAGTTTAAGTGTAATACAAAAGGTAGATAATATCCAAAGGCTCTAAAACAAACTCAGCATGTTTGTTCAGATATCCTTAAGAAGAATGACAAAAAAAAGGTTAGCCTATACACCTATTTACAGGGGTTTCCAAAAGACGCTTTTGCAAGAAAGGCAGCCATCTCGCTCAAGGTCCAAAACACCTAGTCTCTCCTTTCTCATTAAGAGTCTGAGCTTTAATACAGCTAACAGTTCATCTGAGAACATTCCCACTGCTTGAGCGGTATTTCCTGTACAGTTAACAGCAGCAACGGAACAGACATGTTAGTAGCTTTTAGTGTTAAAACACAAGAATGAGGGCAGAACATGATGTTCCTGAGTCAACAGCTAAAGAACGGTCTTTTAGCAGAGCACCACAGAAAGTCCAAGGGCAGAGAGCTACAGGGAAGCAGCGTCACCTCCAGCAAGACACCTCTCTTCTCCAAGTCCACAGCAAAAGAAGAGCTCATCTCTGTCCAATTTATGTAGTAACTATTATTTATTGCCTTGTTTTCTGTTCCACATCCTATGATCTGTGATTTAAACCATGTGCACTACCTGGAAAATTGATTTGCAAGCTCCACTACTCTGATACCATACGAGTTAACAGGCTCTGCTACTCTGATGTCATATCAGTCAATAAGCTCCACTACTGTGATGTCATACAGTACCAGTCAACTCTGCTTCTCAGTAGGTATACTAGTCAACAAGTTTCAGTACTCTGATGTCATACCACTGAACAGGCTCCATTACTCTGATATCATACTAGTCAACAGGCGCCACTATTTTTGATGTACAGTAATACTGGTCAATAGGCTCCACTACTGTGGTGTCCATCCAACACACTGATCTACCTAAGAATCACCAGAAACATGAGCTCTTTGCTCTCTCGCATTCCCCTAGATCCCTGCTCTGAGACATCTGAAATCCTTGTACTGCTTTATCACTTTATGTCTATAGCAACTTACCTCACTTTCATGAACCCATCCTACAGTACCTGCAATGTTTAGAATTCGTATAAATTCCAGAATTTCGTAGAGTTTTTGCTTTTTCTAAATCTGGTCCCAGACATGATTCATGCTGGAGAACACATGTATCCCATTTTGAAATTTTTCCGGCAGATGATTTGACAATTCATGAAGCCGCAGCTAAAGTGTGTATATGTGCCTCTTTCCTGATGTGGTCTATCTATTACTGAGGTACGTTTAACTGGAAATACAGTCATAAAGATAACAAATCTATATATTCTAGATTATTACGTTCCAATACCACAATGTAACGAAGGGATAACTGTATAGGTTCAATGATAAACAAGAAACTGAAAAAGTAATGTTCAAAATAAAAATATCAGTTAAAAAATAAGAGTTAAGAAATCCGGGAACTGACAAAATTAAATCTGTTACTTGTGAAAGAATTACAGAGCAGGGAGTTAGGGGTCATTTCCTGATAGAACATAGTTCTTTCTTGAGTTCACAAGTGGGGAGGGTAACTTGTGGCAGAAAGTGCAAATGGAATTCAAACACTTTTTTTTTTACACATGCCCTAGAGCAGGGGTTTCTAATTCTGGTCCAGGACATGATTCATCATGTTTTATAGACGTTTTCAGACAGTGTCTGAGCTAATTAAACATGGATATACACTTACTATAGTTCTCCAATGTTAAGATCAAATTATGACAGCTATGTATACCAACATACAAAATCTGCAGCATTTTTTACATTGTGAAGATGTAAACAATAATTTAAGAAATACTTTTCTGTTTTTTTCTTCTGAAATTTCTCACATCACTTTTTTCTTGAAATTACTAGATAAAGCACAGGGTAAGGTACCCTGAAATTGAACACATTAACCTGCAATTACAAAGCCAATAATGTAAACATTTGAACTCAAATAAAACTAGACTACTTCACAGGGAATATATTTAAGTGCTAAATAGAAAACGATTTTAAATGGTTTGATTTCACTTAAGAAGGGAACGTCAAAGAAATCTAATCATTTTAGCAGACAAATCCATGAAGTTTGCAAAGAAAAATCAATACCAAAAAAATCCTCCCAAAGAGGAAATTAATTAAACCACATACTGTATATACCATTTCTTATGAATCATTAGGAACAGTCTGAAAAGTTAATTTTGGAAAATAGGAAAGTTTGTGTGGGCCAGGAGGTGGTAGGTGGGTGGAATAAGGCAGGTTGTTGCGACACAAAGGCAAAGGACAGGAGCCAGTTCTGTGTCTCTTCACTAGCACTGAGACTGTTAGAAATGGAAAGGTAGCAGCCGCAGGAGGATTAGTCTTAATAGTTATAGTGATAATGGTAGCAACGTCGAAATTGTAGTAATAGTAGCAGAAGCAGCACCTGCAATGGTAGCGTTAGCTATTTATTTTAGTAAAGAAAAGTGGAGTGCAAACAGCTGTCCAGGAATTAAAATAAGAGATAGATGCTGCTTGGAGAACTTACAGGAATGGACCGGCTCAAGTACCGTGCTGTTGAAGAGCTGAGGCCACTGTAGGAAGGTCTGTAGCTGCCGTAATCATCTGCCAGTCGGGTGGGGTAACTGGTGAGGCCATTGTGGTGGAAGGCACTTTTGTTGGTACTGCTGCTGTTGGTTGTGGTGGTACGGTTATACTGATTGTTGTTAAGCTCATGATAATTTCTAGCATCAAGTTGGGTGCTGCCATTTAAGTAACGGGAGGAAGGGCTGAGGCCGAAGCCTGTCCTCGCAGGGGACGGAGAAGAGTAGGAGGGCAGCTTCCCTTTGCTCTCTGTGTCATCGACAGCCGCATACAGGTTACCTAGGGAACTGGCTAGCCTGGAGTTTACGGAGAAGCTGAATTGGACACAAACAGGGGAGGGAAGGTCAAAAAACAAAAACTAGACAAAGAACACAAAAGATGTGCACACACTGAGGATCAGGCCTGAGCTAGAAGCAGCAGCATGTTATGGTGCCCTACAGGGAATGGAGGGGAAACACAGTAGGGATGTGGGTAAGCAGGGTTTAACTCATGTTTTATTTAAGACACAGAGCTTTATAAAACATTGCTGTAGAGGTAAACCAGTCTGTGTTCATTATAACACGCTTTATTCAGCTGGGCATCAAACACCATAAATCACAGGTGTATAGCTGCCACTCTACTAACATCATTTTAGCAATCTAGGGTTTAACTTGATGAGATTGAAAAAGCAATCTGCACCTGTTAACTTCCTTTCATCTATGATGGGAAAGACTGAAAAGGAGGAAACAAAACAACTTACTCTTCCTTTGAGGCTAATTAAAAGATTGCAATTTTGCTGAATGAGCGGTGTTAAAAATGAAATCCAAAAATGTGAAATATAAATAAAATGGTAATGGTTTAAAAGGAAACTACACACCTGCTTACCAGGTATAAGTGATCCATGTTTCTACACTTATGTTCAAGCAGTACCACATACCATTACAGCAGGAAGCCAGCATTTCCATAAAATCCCTTTTAGTTTAGTGCATTTGTGACCGTGACAAGCACATCTTTAACAGCAGACGGCGGAAAGCAAGACACAGAGAAAGGCACAGCAGAAGATGGAGGCAGAGGAAGACAGAGAGGGACCATGGGTACAGGAGGAACATGGAGGTGAAGAGAGGGAAAGCAAAGGCAGGAAAGGAGAGCGAGGTGGTGGGTAGAAGGAGCAGTGCAGTGGGCTTGCTCACCTCTTCAGGTTGGAAGCGGAAGAGGTGGAGCTTCTGCCAATTCTCCTGGCCGTGGCTGAGCTGGAGGGGGGGACTTTGGAAGACTTGAGAGGAGACATGGATCCCTGGCCACTCACTGTGGGGGTAATCCTGTTTTAACACAAACAGCCACCACAAAGCAGTCAGCATTTTGTATTTCCACAGCGACATCACAGCGACCTATAGGGCAAGATCCATGAATGTACTGTTTTACAGGTCAGGAATGACCGAGCATGGGAGTGTGTTTTACAATGTGGGACTTACAGACACTTCTACAGCAGAGTTAAAGGTTAAAAACAAGGGTGAGGAGCATCACAGATTACCAAAACAGAGCCCTGGCCATTTTGTGCTTGAAAAAATTTTTTTACAACTTTGGAAGGAAACTTGCCTGATGGGTGAGAACAGAAGTGTCAGTAAATGGAGAGAACACATGGAAAGTACACAAGAGATGGTTTTTGAAAATCTAATATGATAAGATCTAACTGGAGCAGTAAGAAAGGGTTTATTGCCTGTCCCTCACAAAAAGTCCTTTCAGGCTAAAGTATTGGTCTTTGTAATGATGCACTTGGGAAAACTCTCTCCAAGAAGGAAAAAGAAAATCACCTAATCTTTCTACAACAGCAGACTCCATCTGTGGGCTCCTCTGACATGTTACTGAGGGCAATAGGACCTACAGGCACTTCTATCCCTCATCCTTTGTCGCCACAGGATCGTGTCAAAGGTGACAGAAACAGCCAAATCACAACCCTATACATCTTATCCTTCCAGAGCTTTCACATTCTTGTTTCCCTCTGTGCAATTCATACACTTTCCTGCTTACTTAACCTAGTTAAAATAACATATATATGTTTCGAGTGCTTCCAATCTCCTGATCTGTTCTACTTACAGACTGTTTCCAGTCTGTTTTATCTCTAGTCACATCCATGGGAACAGTGCAGGGGTGAACAGGGGTTAAGTTTTTGCAGAACTTGGTCACCTCCGAATTGATAATGGTTATCACTGGCACATTAGCCGTTTTAACATCTGAGCTGCAGGTTATCAAGTCCCAGCTACACACTGGAAAAGAGTTAACCCTCTGCAAGGCCTGCTGAGTAATATAAGCAAAATTAAAACAGACCACGAAAGTACTAACAGCCTGAATTTTAATTTTAGTCATCCATATTAGATTCCTCTTTTCCCTGTGTTTCGTTTGACTAAGCTATGGAAAGTAAAATAGCCATACCTGAAAGGCTGAGATGGGGATCTTGTGTGCATTTTCAAGTCTTCTAGTCTGAAAGAGAGAACCCTACTGGGTTTAAAGAAATCCACTAGAAACTTTACACTCTTATTCCACTGAGAATGGGGAATTGTTTAAGAAAAGTTTGACTTCAGTCTAAGGATGAAGATTTGTAAGAAATGCGTCTTCTGCTCAACAGCAAGTCATTTCTCATTTAGCTGGTGTGAAGTAAACTTTCTAAGTATAATCTCTTTGGATCTACTAAGAATCAGTTGTAGTAAGTAATTTAATCTTCTTGAAATGCTTAACAAGATTTACCATGGCTGCCACTTGAAGGACTGGCACTGCCACATAGGACATCCCAGTCATAAATGTGTATTAAGTAACTCATGACCCCACTTGGAGCTGACCTTATTGCCTCACTGTTGTAAATGAAAACTGAATACAGTTTATCGTGATCAAATTGCAGCCAGCCAGATGAGTTGGATATTTAAGGACTCATATAAAATGGATTCTCTCATTATTGTGAGGTTGAAGGCTCACAGTGTCTCATTACTGTCACATTCAGAACTATGTCAACTTAGTTGCTCAATAAGCAGCAACTAAGCAATGCTTGGCATTTTCTCTATGTCTTTCTCTAACTTCACATTTCTTTAATGGAAAGTGAGAAAGCAATTTAATATTTTTCTGATTTCTATCTTAAAAATCCTTTCTGACCGACCAAATGCAGCGGTTCATGCATTTAGTGTTCACATCTTCAGAGAGAGCATTGCTTTGCCATAGTCTTGTTTTTATAGACTGTTTTTCATCACTTAAACAAGCTCTCATCTGAATCTCACTTTGCTTTCACAAAGTACTTCTTCAATTGATTACTGTCAGCTCGTTCCATACTCACAACACCCTTCTCTGGAGTTCATTATTCCCCATATCTTGAAAAGAGCTTAAATCAACACCAAAACAAAACAGATTCCTCTTTATATTTCAGAGTTAGCAAGAATGCCAACATTAGCTTCACCGTTTTTTATGTCAAACATACAGTACACTGAGCATGTCCAAAAAGCATTCTTTTCATGATATGCTTCCCCTTGCCTTTAAAGTGTAGTTCTGCAAAGTTCAAGTTGCCTCTTTCTGTGGTCTGCCCTTGAATGCCACATTCAAGCAGGCAATGTTCAAAGGTAGTTCTTGACATATTGTGTTCTGAAGATGCCAGTTTGTGTTGGAAATCTCCAACTGTTGCTTGTCTCATGATATGCACTTGTATCGTTTTCCTGACAGGACTACCAGTACACCAGTAGCTTTTCAGTTCCTAATAATAGACACTGTAGTGAAAAGTGGTAGGTTCAACTTGTTGGGGATTCTTTTATAGTTATCCCCAAATTTGGGTAGTCAGTGAATAGTGGCCTGCAGTTTTCAAAGAGCTCTCTATCCTCTGCCTTCTGTGTTACCTCTATTTATACCCCAGTGAAACAAGGACCATTAATAACCGACCTCTTTATAATCCCTGAAGCTTCTTTAACACTTCTTAAAAAGCATAATGTTGTTGATTTATTGTTGTTGTATTTAATTGAAAGCAATAAAGGTGTGAATAAATGTTATCCTAGTGTTTTTCAGCTATTCAATTAAAACAAGAATGTAAGATTGTGCTCTGTGCAGTGCTTTTATAATTAGTATAATGTTTTTAGATTTATTTTGAGCAAGTAACATATTGTAATCCATAAATCATTCTGTCATGTGTTTTTCTTGCTATGCTTTAACTAGGGCAATGACTTTTGTTAGGCAAATGTCTTTATCATTGCAGCTGCCATTTTATTCCAAGACAGCAGTTTGGAGAGTCTGCCCATCTAAATATTAGGGAATTAAAGGAAATAGTGCAGCGTCAGTAAAATGCACTGCTATCGTACACTCCCTGACTACACGGAACAGACTGTGCTGCAGTTAAAAAACCTATTTGCTTTTCCATTAAAGTCTGATTAACCTTATACAGTGCCTTGCGAAAGTATTCGGCCCCCTTGAACTTTTCAACCTTTTGCCACATTTCAGGCTTCAAACATAAAGATATAAATTTTTTATTTTATGTGAAGAATCACCAACAAGTGGGACACAATTGTGAAGTGGAACGAAATCTATTGGATTTTTGAAACTTTTTTAACTAATAAAAAAATGAAAAGTGGGGCGTGCAAAAGTATTCGGCCCCTTTACTTTCAGTGCAGCAAACTCACTCCAGAAGTTCAGCGAGGATCTCTGAATGATCCAATGTTGTCCTAAATGACTGATGGTGATAAATAGAATCCACCTGTGTGTAATCAAGTCTCTGTATAAATGCACCTGCTCTGTGATAGTCTCAAGGTTCTGTTGAAAGCGCAGAGAGCATCATGAAGACCAAGGAACACACCAGGCAGGTCCGTAATACTGTTGTGGAGAAGTTTAAAGCCGGATTTGGATACAAAAAGATTTCCCAAGCTTCAAACATCCCAAGGAGCACTGTGCAAGCAATCATCTTGAAATGGAAGGAGTATCAGACCACTGCAAATCTACCAAGACCTGGCCGTCCCTCTAAACTTTCAGCTCAGACAAGGAGAAGACTGATCAGAGATGCACCCAAGAGGCCCATGATCACTCTGGATGAACTGCAGAGAACTACAGCTGAGGTGGGAGAGTCTGTCCATAGGACAACAATCAGTCTTACACTGCACAAATCTGGCCTTTATGGAAGAGTGGCAAGAAGAAAGCCATTTCTCAAAGATATCCATAAAAAGTCTCGTCTAAAGTTTGCCACAAGCCACCTGGGAGACACCCCAAACATGTGGAAGAAGGTGCTCTGGTCAGATGAAACCAAAATCGAACTTTTTGGCCACAATGCAAAACGATATGTTTGGCGTAAAAGCAACACAGCTCATCACCCTCAACACACCATCCCCACTGTCAAACATGGTGGTGGCAGCATCATGGTTTGGGCCTGCTTTTCTTCAGCAGGGACAGGGAAGATGGTTAAAATTGAGGGGAAGATGGATGCAGCCAAATACAGGACCATTCTGGATGAAAACCTGTTGGAGTCTGCAAAAGACCTGAAACTGGGACGGAGATTTATCTTCCAACAAGACAATGATCCCAAACATACAGCAAAATCTACAAAGGAATGGTTCACAAATAAACGTATCCAGGTGTTTGAATGGCCAAGTCAAAGTCCAGACCTGAATCCAATCGAGAATCTGTGGAAAGAGCTGAAAACTGCTGTTCACAAACGCTCTCCATCCAACCTCACTGAGCTCGAGCTGTTTTGCAAGGAAGAATGGGCAAGAATTTCAGTCTCTCGATGTGCAAAACTGATAGAGACATACCCCAAGCGACTTGCAGCTGTAATCGCAGCAAAAGGTGGCTCTACAAAGTATTAACGCAAGGGGGCCGAATAATTTTGCACGCCCCACTTTTCATTTTTTTATTAGTTAAAAAAGTTTCAAAAATCCAATAGATTTCGTTCCACTTCACAATTGTGTCCCACTTGTTGGTGATTCTTCACATAAAATAAAAAATTTATATCTTTATGTTTGAAGCCTGAAATGTGCCAAAAGGTTGAAAAGTTCAAGGGAGCCGAATACTTTTGCAAGGCACTGTAGGTGCCTGTTTCCCCAAACTTCAGGTCTCAATAAACAGTGAAGTTACCCCCACATCTCCCACTCCCCTATTTCAACTCCGTAGAAAAACAACTGGTGGAAGGCAACAGTTTAAGTGTTTTTTGGGAGAGAAAAATGTGATATGTGAACTTCCTAGAAAATTATAGAGCTTGTGTGTTTTGTCTTAAAAATACAAAAAACAAAGCATGTTAAATTATATATGCATGTAACATAGCATTATATATAACATGAATGGTAAATGTTTTAAAAATTGTTTAAGATACAGTTTCTAAAGTTTTACACCTTTGCACATGTGAAACAAAATATTTTAATGATTCATACAATGCAATCGGGAAACACTTCTTCCAGTTCTGTTGGATTTCTAATGCCTGCATGTAAGACGTGGGAGTGGGTTACACTGCAGGAATGCTACAGATGATCCTAAACTCTACTGCGTGAAAAAAGAATAACCCGGCTGACTCAGACTGTGCTGCAGTTGCCTGTGTTTTTTCTGCTTTTCTTGTTATGTAACCAGCATGTCACAAAAATCTTATATAACTGAAAAGTGGCTTATGGAATAAGACAAGTTAATTTACTCCTGGAAGCAGAAAGCCGGCTAAAATGAGCTACTTCTGTTTCAAAAGAACAACTGCAACCCCAGCAGTGTGCATGTTAACACTAAGCAATCTGCACAAGCCCTGTTTCTATGACTACCAGGTCCAGTTTTGTCATGCCTTTTCTGAACAGGCTTTATAACTATGGCCTGAAACACTCTGAGCCTATCACAGGAGGAAACACCAATAACCATTGCAGCTAGAGGTACTTATAGCAATAGTGAGTGTACTCGAAACAATTATCACAATATTCTATGAGGTTTTGTTCCCTGTTCTTGCTGCTAAAAAACAGCATTGACCTCAGGTAGAGACACGAGACGCGATTCTCCTCTCCTGTAAGTCATCAGGTGACCTGCAGTGACGTGAGAGAGAGACGCGATTCTCCTCTCCTGTAAGTCATCAGGTGACCTGCAGTGACGTGAGGAAGAGACGCGATTCTCCTCTCCTGTAAGTCATCAGGCGACCTGTAGTGACTTCAGGGAGAGACGCGATTCTCCTCTCCTGTAAGTCACTAGGTGACCTGCAGTGACGTGAGGGAAAGACGCGATTCTCCTCTCCTGTAAGTCACAAGGTGACCTGCAGTGCCGTGAGGGAGACATGCGATTCTCCTCTCCCGTAAGTCACTGGACATCTTGCAGTGCCCATGGATGAAGAGCAGGATGGGAGGGCAGGCTGGAGGAGCTTGCACTCCCATCCTCACTCTCTCTGTACTATAGGAGTTGGTGAAGAGAGCTGTGGCATCACAAAAACACCAATAATTCCAGGCTGAGTAGAAATAAAGGGTAAAATCTAAAAACACATCGTTAAAAGGGCAAAAAGCATAAATAAATGACCACACAATCCCCCACCCGGACTACAGGTGGCCGAACCTCTATAGTCGTGGTGTTCTGTCTATATTAGGCAGAAAGACTTTTCAACTTTTTTTCAGCACACAACATTTCAATGTGGCCCTGATAAGACAGAGCAGTTGTGATGCAGATATAGACAATTATAGTGTTTTAGTATTTTTTTCAACAAAGCTAGCATTATCAGATATGATTCAAATAACATTTAACATTTTTCACAAAGCTAATATATTAAAATATCCAATTTTTATCACAAATTGCAATTAACTGGTGAATGAACTGTTGTTAGATAGAAGACTGACAAGGACTAGCAGTTAGTGTGCTCTGAATACAACTAAACTAGAACCAAATTACTGTTTGTCACAGTGGCATGTGTGGCAATGACACATTTGTGTTACGATTGCCAGAAGTAAAAAATTAGTTACTCAGCCTAAGAAAATGTATTTAGCCTCTCACTTGTTTCTAAACTCATCTGAGGACTTGAAAGACTTTCATTTTTCATTTGTGTAATTGGACTGCAACATTAGTCTGACCTCAAAGCTCCAGTGGTGGCCGAACGCGGCTGTCTTCTGCTTTTTAAGGCACGAAGTTTGTCTCCCTGAGTAAGAGAAATTCCATCGTCCCCAAATTCATTCTGCAAAGAGAAAGGTGTTATATTTCCATGAGTTATTACATACAGTACTGTATATACAGTACAAGTGAATGCTTTATTCAGTCCCCCAGTCAGTGAAGACTGCAATACCTTCCAATAGATTTTGTCTCACTATGCTAGAGACCAAGTGTCAGACACAGCTAACCATTTCTTCTATTTTTCTGAACACCTACTACAGGTAATGTCTTTAATGATTTTGTCTTTTAAAGCAATCAAATATAGTGAAGAACAAACGGTTAGGGAACTGTTAGAGATCACAATATGGTATGTTTTGAAGTACATTTCAAAACTGTTCAATTTCAGGAGATAAGACTTTAAATAAATCTTACTTAGCTTAGGAAACGTGAAATGGGACATGGAAATTGTACAGATATATGGCAATATTTTAAAGAGATTCTGTTTGAAGCACAGAGCAGATTTATAATAAGAATAAGAAAATCAAAGGCTAGAAATTAGTGGCTGAAATGGCTTAACCAGATCAATAATGGAAAATATAAGAAGAAATAAAGCACTTCATAAAATGATTACAAAACACCAACATCCATTTAGAGATGGTGTACAATACATTGCAAGAAAAGGTACAAAATTAAGTCAGAAGAGAGAAACATTATAAAATTACATCAGCAGAGTAACAGTTAATAAAGTTGGGTATACATAATGGGAAACTTTAAGAGAAGGAACAGGAAATTGTTAATTAATTTAACTCAGGTGTTCACCATGGGAGAAACAGGCAACATGCAACATCCATATTAAATAATTTAGCATAAAAGAGACCTTACAAGTACTAGAAACACTTAAAATAAATGTCCGGGGCCTGAGGGTGTTCTACTGAAAATGAGGAATGTTATTCATAGACCATCAACAAAACTCTTCCAACAGTCATCTGGAATTTATTCCTCAGATTTTCATGTCCTGCTCATTCTTGCAAGCTCCTTTATCTGATCTGCCTACCCAGACCTCAGCTTCATACTCCTGCTCCCTTCCCCTTCCTTTCTCACACCTCAAGAAATGTTGTTTATTCTTTTGCCTTTTGGGAGTACTTAATTAGACTAACAGACCGGGGAAAGCAGAGATTGAGAGTTTTACAGATAACCAAGTGAGATATGCTGCTGTCCATACCAGTAAGGCTCTAAAGCAGTGGTTCTCAAACTTTTTATCAACTGGGCCACAACCGTGGCTAAAAGCAAGACTCGTGGGCCACATATATTAATCACTACTAGGCTTACCTTATTTGCGTGCATAATAGCTATTAACCATGTGTATGTACAGTATATATAGAGAGAGGATGGAAAAGTTATGGTGTAGTACACAAGGTTTCTTGAGAAACAGGACGTTTCGGGAGGAAGTCATTCGCCATCTGTGCAACTTCAGAAGCACTTTGCTTGCACAGCTGATGAAGGACTTCCATCCAAAACATCCCATTTCTCAGGAAACCTTGTGTACCACACCATAGCTTTTCCAACCTCTACATTTACTACTGAAGTACACTGCAGTTACTCCCTGGATATATATATATATTCTATGATATATACAGTTGTGAGAAAATGTTTGTGAACCCTTAGGAATTATATGGATTTCTGCATGAATTTAACAAACAACACACACAACATTTTACATTGCCATATCTTTATTGAACATATGGTTTAAACAATCAAGGTCATTGATGGAAAAAGGATGTGCTTCCTTATATTTAGTAACTAGTGGAAACTCCTTTATTGGCAATAACCTCAACCAGATTCTTTCATTAGCTGCTGATCAGACCTGCGCAGCAGTTAGGAGGTATTTTGGCCCATTCCTCTATACAAAACTGTTTCAGTTCATGTATATTTTTGGGATGTCTTGCTTGAACAGCCTGCTTCAGATCACACCTCAGCATTTCAATGGGATTGAGGTCAGGACTCTGACGTGTTCTAAAATATGGAATTTCTTCCGTTTGAGCCACTCTGTTGTTGATTTACCCCTGTGTTTTGGACCATTGTCATGTTGCATTACCCAACTTGTTTTGAGTTTTAGATCACAGATGCTCTGACATTCTGCTGTAGAATTTACTGATACAACTTGGAATTCATTGGTCCCTCAATGATTGCAAGCTGTCCAGGCCCTGAAGCAGCAAAGCAGCCATTATACTCCCTCCACCATGCTTTACAGTTGGGATGAGGTTTTGGTGTTGGTATGCAGTGTTTTGTTTTCTCCAAACATAACGCTGTGTACATTTACCAAAAAGTTCAACTTTTGTCTCATCTGTCCACAAAACATTGTTCCAGTAGTGCTGTGGAGCATCCAGGTGGTCTTCAGAAAGCAGTTTTTTTTTTTAAAGCAGTGGTTTCCGCCATGGTAACCTCCCATGAACACCATTCTTGTTCAGTGTTTTTCTTATGGCAGACTCATGAACATAGACGTTATCAAGTGCAACAGATGCCTGCTGATCCTTAGCTGTCACCCTAGGATTCTTTGTCACTTGTTTAAGGATTGTACGGTGTGCCCTTGCACTGATCTTTGTAGGACGCCCACTCCTAGGGAGAGTAGCAACGGTGCTGAATTTCTTCCATTTGTAATTTATCTGCCTTACTGTGGACTGATGGAGGCCCAAATATTTAGAAATCCTTCTGTAACCCTTTCCAATCTTATGAGCTTCAACAACTCTTCTTCTGAAGTCATCTGAAATCTCTTTTGTCAGGCCATATTGCACTTCAACAGAATAACCAAAACTGTGTGAATTTTTATTCTGCAGGGAAGGTCAAACCCCTTAGTCAGTTTTCTGTGCTTTCCATAATGCCTCGAATGTCACCAGAAGCAAGAGAGAGGGCCACTGGCATGCTGCAGGCAGGCATGTCATGTGCCAGCATTGCCAGACACTATGGAGTAAGCCGCTCCACTGTGTCCCGACTGCAAAGAAGGTTTTAGCAGATTGGCAGGACAGATGACCATCCAAGATCCAGTTGCCCTCAAGTTACCACACCAGAGCAGGGCCGACACAACAGACTGGTCAATCTGAGAGATCGTTTCAGATTTGCCACCCGTACTGCTGCTGAAACTGCTGGCAGACACAATGCCCGCATCAGTGACAATACAGTGAGGATGCATGCTGCTGGCCTTAGAGCAAGTGACCTGTCAGAGGCCCTCTGCTCACACCTCCTAGATTTCACACCCAACTGGCTTGGACCAGACTGATGATGCGAGGGACTTGTCAGCAGTGGTATCAGGTCCTCTTCACGGATGAGTCACTCTTCAGCCTGTTCCACACAGACGGAAAGGCCAGAGTGTGGAGGAGGTGTTCGCTTCTTTTTTCCCATCTGTATATATTGTATATATTCTTAACATTCATAACTCTGACAGTATGGTAGTCACATTAATGGGACACTTGATGCTGTCTGGAGGAGACCAACGAGGAGCACAACGAAGTTGAGATTCCAGGTGAAGGTCTCTCAAACGTGCACGGAAGAATGACTTGATTGCGGAGAAGTATTAACTGAAAACTTTTTATCCTGCAAATTATCTCGCTTTTGTTGCTCAAGTCCTCAAAGAGACTTTGGATTAAGAAAACAGTTCTTTACTAGTTCACCATCACTGAATGGTTTGCCATGTTTAGCGAGTAGCTATGAAATTTTGAATGTGGCTAGCGTCAACACCTGGGATGTTTTTAAAGTCGCTTACATGACTTTCTGTTCAGCAATAGCATTTTTTTGGGATTATTTATCTTGAGAGACCTGTCACTTGAATCAAGTGGATACTGCTTGTCAAAATTCTTGAGTAGTATCAAATTGTTTTTTTACACTGGACATTTTGCAAGCACCAATAATTTTACTACAAAGCAAACAGAAAGGCTCCCCATCTCTATTAATCACGGCAAATTTGCTCCTCCATTCTTCCAATTCTTTCCTGCCCTCATCGCTGATGCTCCGACTCTTTTTTCTGTTTGCACGTTTCATTTTCTATATTTGTTTTGTTTACATTTTCTTCCTCTGGTCGTTTTGCACCCCTTACAACAAACTTACCATAATCCATTTTTCTTTCTTTTTTTACGCAAACTAGCAGGCTACTAGGCTAGGCAACCCTGCTGTGAGTTGGCTAGTCTTTGCGTTCAGACGTATGACGTGCGACGGTGAAGGCAATATGAAAGTGTGTTCTAGTGACGTGCGTTATAACCTACGTGCAGCACATTAATGAAATTAAAAATTAATGAAAATGAATCTGATCACCTGCAAATCTATTCAGAAACGGTTTTACGTGACTAGAACACACTCTTAGTGGGGTTGCCTATTTTTTTTTTATCGAAAGAATCGACTGCAAACAAATGTATATTATTAAAAAGAGGTCGGACGTTGCGGGCCGCAGGTTGAGAACCATTGCTCTAAGGTCAGACTATGGCCAGCAGCCATATAATCCAGCAACTAACAACTTGCAACCCACTGGAGCTAAGCAGGTGTGAGCGTGGTCAGTACCTAGATAGGAAACCTCCTCGGAAAAACTAAGGTTGCTGCTGGAAGAGGTATAAGAGGGGCCAGGAGGAGGCCCTCACCCTGCGGTCTATGTGGGTCCTAATGCCCCAGTACAGTGACGAGGACGCTATACTGTAAAAAGGGATAGTCCCTAGAAAACCAAGGTTCTGACTCTGTGGTCATAAAGAAAACCCAGGTTGTTTCTTGAAAAAGAGTAGCGCTGTTACCCTAGTGTCTTGGCCATTTTCCCATTGGCCTTTACCAATTAATACCCATAATCTCTATGAATTGGTTTCATCAGTCTGTTTCTCTTCCCACTGACATCATGTGTGGTGAGTGTACTGGTGCACTATTGCTGCCGTCATGTCATCCAGGTGGATGCTACACATCAGTGTGGTGGAGGGGACTGTCCAGAAAAGCGCTATATACAGTATGTGTAAGGAATTATTATTAAGCACAAGGAGCAGTAGTTTTTCTGTTTGTTTTCACCATAGTGACCAGACATTAAAAATAAAGCTTTCATGTTATAGCTACATACTGTAT